CCTGATGCTGGGGCTGTCTGCCCCGTGCTCTGACTGAGCATTCGAGGATGTGTACTGCAATAGTCACTGTCGCAGGAAGATGCTCTTACTTGAGTGTTAGTGTTCTAGACTTTGGACAACACAGGTAGGGGACAGAATTCTCGCTTTCCAAAGCCATCAAGTGCTGACAGTGTTCCCTGCCATCTAGTCTAGTCTAGTCCCCAATGGAGTATGGGAAGGTCATCTCTTGGTTGCTGGTGTCTGTTGTCTTTGCAGCTTGCATTGTTACCTCCAGTCCCCTTCGTGTTCTTGGAACATAATCCAGCTCCAAGCAGATGTTTCTTGGATGGGACTGTCCCTGAAACCTGCCCACTTAAGGACTTAGCAAGTTGTTTTTTTTTTGAGTTGGAGTCTCACACATTCGCCCAGACTGGAGTGCAGTGGCCGCTTCTGGCCACTGCAGCCTCGACCTGCTGGGCTCCGGCGATCCTTGATCCTTCCGCCTCAGCTTTCCGAGTATTTGGAACTACAGGCGCGTGCTACCATGCCCAGCTAATTTTTTTTATTTTTATTTTTATTGTAGAGATAAGGTCTCGCCAAGTTGCCCAGGCAGGTCTTGAACCCATGGGCTCAGGCAATTCACTCACCTCAGCCTTTCAAGGCGCGGGATTACAGGCTGAGCCACCGAGCCCGGCTAGCAAGTTGGTTTTTGAACCTTTACTCCATGCCAGGTATTTGACCAGGCAGTAGTGTCTAGAAACGATTAAAACTGTGCCTGCTTGAGGCGTAGAGTTCAGTGAGGGGGGAACCATGTGAGCAGCTGCAAAATACAGATGTTTTGGGGTGTGTGTGGCCAAGGGAGCCTAGGAGGAAGGAGGCTCTCAGCTTTCTGGGGACCTAGGGGAAAGCTTTCCAGAGGAGCTGGCCTTGGAAAGACCACTTGCCTGTCTCCTGGTGCCGCAGCGACTGGGCCCTGGAGCCCCTGGTGGCCCAGCCGGGGAGAGTGCCACAGGCATGGGTGCAATAGGGCTGGGTGTTGAGGAAGGTGAGGATGACAGTGCCAGGCTGGGGTGGCCGTCAGAGACGGATGGGGGTCCTGTGTGCTTGCTCGTGGAATCAGGCTGAGTCTGTCTCTGGTAAGTGTGACTTGGAGGCAGGCCGTCTGCAGCTGATCTCCTGGCTGGCTCCCAGAGCCCAACCTGTCGCCTTGCCTCAGAAGCAGGCACCGTCTTTGTGTCGCCTCCTCCATGCAGGGCACTGGCAGAAGGCAGGCGGCCTGGAGTGCCGCTTCTGGGTTTTGGCACTGGTGGCACCAGGTGCAAGGGCCTGAGGACAGGTGGCCTTAGTCCTTGCAGGGTTTGGTTTTAGGGTGTGTTGTAAGCAGACATATTCTTTCCCTTTTAGGGTTATTTCCCCGAAGACTGACACCTTGTTCCTGAGGTTTAAGGAACTTAACTGGACTTGGGACCAGTGGAGGCCTCAGAGGTGGCTCAGCTTCTCCCTAGAAGATGTCCCTGGCCCCTAAGGCAGAGAAGAGAGGTGGCTTTGGGCCTTGCCAGGCCTTACTTCCTTGTCTGTGCTTTCATCTTGCCAGTGATCCAGAGAAGGGGTCCTTGGGCCGTGCATGAAATACTACAGTTTCACTTAAATGGTTTCCAAGTCCATAGACATGAGTGGACGCCTTCCGTTGACCCAAGTGCTGATTTTTCTTGGAAAGATAGACTTTTATGTGTTCCTGTCTACTCTGTTGTCAGACTCACTTGTGGGCTCACCCACATCTCTTTTGTAAATGCTTAAATGCACAAGTACTTTGACTCTTTATGTGGTTAGAAGGAAAAGGGAAATGCACATTCATTGGGCACCGACTGTGTCTCAAGTGCTGAGTTTGCCATTCCTTCCACCAAACCTCCTCATGTCTTTTATTCTCAGACCAGCCTGTGAGTTGTGTGGAATTGCCCTGTTTTCTCCTGGGGGAGAGGGAAGTTGAGCCTCAGAAATGTTAAGCACCTTGTTTGATGTTGCCCCAGCTGGTGAGTGGCAGAGCCAGAATTTCAGCTGGGCCTGGCAGAGGTGCTCAGCTCTGTTTAGTGTAAGGATTTCCCCTGAAGTTTATGACTTTTTGCCAGTTTCACCTGTAAGTGTTGGCAGTGTTTTGATATTCTAATTACCTTTGCCACTGTCAAAGATGAACTCTTAACTATGTACTAAAATGTTTCTTACTGTATTTTTTAATTAAAAAATAGGTGGGACTTTCAAATTTGTGTATATTTGAGTCTACCTGTATCTTCCTTCTGTAGATTCTGTTGTTTCATAGCATAGCAGCAACTTGAGGGATTTTCCCAGAATTGCTCAGCAGTGGTCCTGCCTTGGAGGGCTCACGGCTAGGCGAAAGGACAATGTGAGCCATGAAAAGCTTGTTCATGTGTGATGAGGTTCTATCCAGATTCTTTTGGGTGATGAACTGAGTTTTTGCTTGGTAGGTTAGAGAAACATTTTATTTTTTGCAACCCCTTTATAGTTTCACTATTGTGTGTGTGTGTGTGTTGGAGTCTCACTCTGTCCCCCAGGCTGGAATGCAGTGGCACACTCACAGACACCGCAGCTGTCACCTGCTGGGCTCCGGCGATCCTTCCGCCTCAGCCTTTCGAGTAGCTGGAACTCCAGGCGTGCACCACCATGCCCAGCTGATTTTTTTTTTATTGTAGAGATGAGGTCTCGGTATGTTGCCCAGGTTGGTCTTGAACCCGTGGGCTCAGGCAGTCCTCTTGCCTTTGCCTCCCAAAATGCTTGGATTATAGGTGTGAGCCACTGTGCCCAGCTAGAACTTCACTATTAAACTCTAATCTGTATTTTTGTTTTGGGGCAATATAGTGTGGTTCTAACTTCTAAGAAGAATTGATAATTAGTGTAACACTGTGATTAAATAATCCTTCCTTTTTCACTGGGTCATATTTCGGGTTTTTATTATTATTTTTTGAGACAGGGTCTCGCTTTGCCACCCAGGCTTGAGTGAGGTGTTGCAATCATAGCTCACTGCAGCTTTGAACTCCTGGGCTCAAGTCATCCCCCTACCTCAGCCTCCCAATTAACTGTGACTACAGGAACGTGCCATCGTGCCTGGCAAATTAAAAAAAATAATGTGTGTGTGTTCTTTTTGTAGAGACAGAGTCTTGCTATATTGCCCAGGCTGGATCAAGTTTTTGTATATGGTTCAGGCTATTTCTGAATTCTGCATTTCAATTCATTCCTTTACATTTCTATTTTTGCTCCAGTGCTGCACTGTCTGACTAGCTTCTTCAGTTTCTGGGAGGAAGGAAGGGTGATTACTTCCTTATTATAAAGAGATGGGCTTTTGCTCTGTTGCCCGGGCTGGAGTGTAGTGGTGTGATCATAACTCCTGCTTCCTAAAGGGGGAGTGTGAAGGCTCCTTCCGAAAGCTAAAATGATAGCAAGTGGGAGTGTTTATCATTGTTACTTCTGTGCTGTAAAACCTTCAGCTCCTTGCAGTTTGAGGACAGCAGCTACCAACAAAGTGCCTGCAGGAAGTTCGGTGCCTTTTAATTGCTTTTCTTGAGGTACTTTAATTCTCCCAAGGCAATATAATGGAGCTGGGATTAGCGCCCAGGAGTGTCCGAGACCAAAGTCCTGTTCTGAATGTTGTTCTGTCCTGTGGATCAGATTTAAGTGGCCTGCCTAATTTCTTTAGTTTTGACATTTTAGAGGAAAATAAAAGGTAACTTACTATATGCCAGGGTTCTCAGTCTGCTGGGGGCTATATTCTGTAGGCTGGTTTGCTTTGTACCTTCTCTTCCCTGCTTAGACCAGAGAACTCAGAGAATTGTAGACGTGGCCCTAGATGTGTGTGTGTGTGTGTGTGTGTCAGCGTCACTGACAGTTTTGGCTCTTAACACTCAACTCTTATAGGTCCAGGTCTTTATTCTTCCTTTATTATTTATTGTCTCTGAGCCTGCCTCCTGGCCTAAACTAAGCCATTCTAAACTAGATGTGGTCTACTGTGGGATCCATAGATGCCAGCTCTGCTGCTAAATAACAGTATGGTGTTAGACCCACTTCTTAGCCTCTCTGAGCCCTGGTTTCTTCCATGGTAAAGGGGATACTGTGTCCACCTCAAAACCACGAGTAACCATGACTAAAACATTTGTGGAGAAGCATGGCCAACTTGGATATAGCTTTGGTAGTCTCACTACAAATGGTATACAGCATTTACTTTATTTTTTCTGTCTTAATGAGGATATCTTAGTTTTAATGCTGTCTCAGAGCAAGTAGACCCTTGACTTATGTATGAGTAGTGGACTCACATACTTTTGGCAGAGGTATCTGTTCATCATTTACCCCCCCCCCCCAAGAAAATTCCCACAAAACCCCTTTCTACTTAGCTAGTCCTCATGCTTCCAGTGCTGTCCTGGGGATCAAGATGTGACTGGTGGGAGGAGGATGATGACGACGAAGATTATTATTATTATTATTTTTTGAGTTGGAGTCTCATTCTGTCGCCCAGACTGGAATGCAGTGGCCGCTCCCCGCCACCGCAGCCGCGACCTGCTGGGCTCTAGCCATCCTTCCACTTCAGCCTTCCAAGTAGCTGGAACTACAGGCGCGCGCTACCAGGCCCGGCTAATTTTTGATTTTATTGTAGAGATGAGGTCTCGCCAAGTTGCCCAGGCAGGTCTCGAACCCGCGGCCTCAGGCAATCCACTACCTCAGACTCCCAAAGTGTGGGATTACAGGCTGAGCCACCGAGCCCGGCATGAAGATGATTATTTTTATCTTGGATGCATCGTTTGTTTGGATTATCACCCTGATAATTTATATCATGATAATGTATGTTACAACTGCTGCATACAGTGCTGGCCCTGGATCAAAATTTGCGTGTGCAGAACTTTTTTCAAGTCTTTCTCCCGTAAAAGGGACATCAGAGCATTTCAGCTGTGTGTCAGAGTGACACCTTTGGGTTTTATATCCACTTTTACAGTGTCCGTGTTGTGTTTTTTTCTAGTTTTTCCTTGGACCAAGATGACTGATGGAAACCTTTCCGCCTCTACCAATGGCGTAGCCTTGATGGGCATTTTGGATGGTCATCCAGGAAACTCCCTTCAGAACCTGCAGCACGGGAATCTCAAGGCACCCAGACTCTTTTCAGAGCCTGAGTATGGGCCCAAGCTAAAGCTGGGTGCTTTGGAAGATCGGCACAGCCTCCAGTCGGTAGACTCGGGCATTCCTACACTGGAGATTGGGAACCCAGAGCCTGTGCCCTGCAGCGTGGTCCATGTGAAGAGGAAGCAGTCTGAGGCCGAGCTCGTCCCAGAGCGGGCCTTCCAGAGTGCATGCCCGCTGCCGTCCTGTGCGCCACCAGCTCCCACCAGTGCTGAGCAGGAGCAGAGCGTGCGGAAGTCCTCCACCTTCCCCAGGACTGGCTACGACTCTGTAAAGCTCTACAGCCCCACCTCCAAGGCCCTGAACCGCAGCGATGATGTATCTGTCTGCAGCGTGTCCAGTCTTGGCACAGAGTTGTCAACCACGCTGTCCATCAGCAATGAGGACATCTTGGACCTTGTGGTCACGAGCAGCTCCAGTGCCATTGTGACCCTGGAGAACGACGATGACCTGCAGTTTACCAGTGTCACCCTGAGCGCCATCAAGGAAACCAGTGGCCTACACCAGCAGGACTGTGTCCGTGATACTGAGGCGGGGAGTAAATTGAGAATATTGGGCCCATTTAGCAACTTCTTTGCAAGGTAATGCCTCTTTATCCCTCTCGAAGAGCTGTGTGGTTGAAGTCAGACCAGTCACCTTGTTCTTCTTGCCTCAGATGTGTGTTCTCCTGTCTTGTGAAGCAGGCACGGTGTCATGCAGGTAGCCTTGCCTTTTCCTGTAGTCCAGAGGCCTGTGGCGTTGTGTGTAGAGCTGGTCTGGTGGTGACTCTGCTGCTGGAGTCCGCACCTGCAGCTGGTTCTTCTGTATCCCTGGCTCACTTGCTCAGCCTGACGCTTGTTCCTAGCCTCTGACCTGTTGTGGCTGTGGGTGACCCACAGGGGGCCAGCGTTACAAGTCAGCTACCTTAGTTTGTCAGCCTTCGCCTCTGAGGGCCCTCTGTGCTAATGACTTACGATTCTGGGATCCAGCAGAGGGTGCCGACGAGGGTAGTATCTGCTGGTAGCTCACATTTCCAACTCCAGCCCCTGCTGGCATACCCCCAGCACTGGCCTCGTAGGCATCCTGGTCATGTCCCCTGTGTTCCTGCATGGCTGCATTCTTGTGTGAGTGTTCTGGCCCTGGCCCCGCCGTGGAGGTGTGTGCTGTCACTGCACTGCAACCACATGCGTTTCCACCCAGGTCGGCCCGTGCACACCTTCCCCATGGGACCCTGTCACCCAGGTGCCAACCGAGGCCTGCCGGAGTTCCTGTGTTTCCCCTAAAGGCCTGTGGGGACAGCTCCTTCCGCTTCTGCCTCTTATTTGTGCTCTCATGCCTTGGTTCAACAAGTGCCTGTTTCTTAGGTTCTGTTCTCGGCGGGTCATGTGGGGTCATACGGTGGTGGAAATGTCTTGGGTAGTGACTTAGGGTGGGCTTATAGCCACGGGGTGGTGTGAGTGGACACATTAACAATCACACAAATGATGGCAACTCCCAGACTGTGAAGTGCTGGAAGAAAGGGCATGGGGGCTGTGGAGGGTCTGTAGAGAATGGTAACATGCTCCACAGCTGCTTTTTGGAGGCTCTGGGCCCAGGGCGGGGACATTTCTACAGGCGACCCTGGCTACCTTGTGTTTGTGCCCCTAGCAGAGCCCATGGTGGATCTTTGCCGTGTGGGGCATCCCTTTGAGATGGTGTGGTGAGCTGCTTGGAGTCCTCTGGATTGGGCACGCACATTAACTTATCACTGCCTCCGCTGCTTCTTCTGCTAAATGTGGGATCATCTCGGGTGGGCCTAAGACCAGTCCTAGTGAAATGGTCTCCAGCAGGGCCTGTAGTTTTGTGGGCACCTTTTTTCTCTAATGTGCTGACAGATAGATATATTGCTACCACCAGTAGGGGACCTGATCTTTGAACTCAGCAACCCGGCAGTTGCCCTTGGTGGGAGGAGCCCAGGACCTTTGGGGGAGAGTGTCAGCATCCCTCCTGAGTCTGCGACCATGTTGTCGTGTGGCTGTGGTTCAAGCTTGTGTGGCTCAGCTGTCCCTTCACTCCAGTGAGTATGTTCACTTCCCTGTTTATGATACCACCTGGTACCCATTAAATGTGAGTCTTCAGGGTCCATCCGACAGGACAGAATCAGAGTCTCAGAAAGGGCCTGGAAGACAGGTTTTCAGAGTCACAGTTGTCCTCGTCTGAAAACTGAAGGATTCTTGGCAGCTCTGGGAAACCTTGCTTGAAATGGGTTGAAATGCTACTCTGGGAAGTAGCATAATGGAAAGAGCTTGGCTTTGAAATTCAGCAGACCTGCACCTGTGTCCTAGCTGTGTGACCTTGACAAGTTCCTTCACCTCTCTGAGTCAGTTTTCTCACCCCTCAAATAGCATTATTAAGAGCCTAGCACACAACATCCATTATGTTGTTGGTGTACGCTGTTCTCTTACCTGTGTCCGCGTTATCTTGCTTTCTGTCTCGGCTGCTTCATTTGTAAACTGGGGACGATGAGCCCTTCTTCCTGTGATGGCAGAGGGGATTAAGTGGGTTCGCACATGCGATGTAGCGCGTGGGAATGTGGTGCAGATCCAGACCCACAGTAGACTTTTAAACTGTTGCCTGTGATGATCACGGCTGCACCTTGCTTTGTCTGCTGTCTTTGTTCCACGGCTGAGTTGAGCTGTCTGCGTTGGAACTTCTTTCCCTTTGAATGGAAACATCATCAGTTATGCAATTTCTACATCTTTTCTAAAGCTACTGTTTCTTGTGCCACAGAAAACATGTCTCTTCTTCGTTTTATTTCTTGGTTTTTGTCTCCTTTTCCTTGTTTTGATGACGGCAACATTGTTATTGTGAGCTGCGCTTAAGTACCTTTGGGAGACAGGAGGAATGTAATGACAAATGCATCAAAATAAGTAATATCACAGGCTGAGTCTAGTGGGGTTTTTGTCCTCAAGTCTGAAAACCATGAAGGAAGAGTGTCAACTCTCTTGAGCTGCTTTGAGGGGAGATGATTCTGTACCAGAAATCTTTGGTGCCTAAACATTTTACAGGCGAGTAGATGGAGTTACAACGAATGTTTGTTAGCTCAGCACAGGGCCTAGACCACAGCAGGTATCCAGAAGACTGTGGATGTTTCAGATTTTTTTGAGGGCAGGTCCGGGGCTGGAGATGGACTTCTGGGGTTTGAGGCCGCTGAGCCATCTTGTTTCTCCATTTTGTCCCCTTGTCCTCATGCCTTTCTGTTTTCCTGGTCATTGAATCTGTCTCAAGGTTGTGTGGAGAGACATGTGGGCAGTAGGGTCTAAGGACACGTGCTTGAATGGTCCAGGAGCTTGTGAGCAGGGAGCAGACCTGCTGGTGAGCGGCCTGGCAGAGACAGGAGCAGGGGAGTGACAGGAGGGTTGGCAGGGCTCATCTGCCTCATGGAACCTCAGGCCCAGCTCCGGTTTGCTCCTTTCTTCCCCCACCTCTGTCCCAGATTCCACTCTGGGCTTTAGAGAGCGTCCCGGCCTTTATGGAGCTCCCAGTCTCGTCTAGTGTGGGACACAGACAAGGCACTTTGGGGACAGTGGGGCAGGCATAAGTGCTGTTGCTGTGGGCAGGGAGTGCGGTGGCACTGCAGTCGGAAGTGGTGGCTCAGGAGTCACGCGGGCTGGGTTCATCAAGCGCTCTTCTGTTTGCTAGCTGTGGAACCGTGGGCATAGACCTCTCTGAGCCTTCAGCGGGGGGGATAAAACTACCATGTAAAGTTAGAGATCTACTAGATAAAGCAGCTACCTTCTTAGCGCTTCCTAAGTAGTAGCTTTCTATGATTCTAACGTAAGTATCATCATTTCTAGAAAACATGTTTTCTGCAGCTTTCTCTCTAGTTCTTAACCCCACATTGTGCTTGCTTCAGTCAACCTATTACTGAATAAGTTAGAGCAGTATTTCCGCCTTGGCACCGTGGACATTTTGGGATCGATGATTCTTTGTTGTGGGTGGCTGTCCTGCGCATTGGAGCATGTTTTGCAGTTTGCCAGGCTTCTACCCACTAGATGCCAGTAGCACTCTCTAGTTGTGACAGCTAAAAATGTCTCCAGACATTGCCAGATATCCCAGGGACAGGCTAAGTCACCCAGCCTTTGCGAGTATGTGCTGCATTTATTTGCTTCCTTGAAGGAAATTTACTAGTGTAGTTTGGGCAGGAACCTCATCTTCTCTAGAGGAGAGGGACTGTGTTGAGAGATCCTGTGAACCCAGGGTAGATGATTAGTGTTCATCTAGAAACCCAGATAGCAAGTTTAAGAGGAATTCAGTAGCATACTTGTGGTGTGCTTATTTTCCACAGGAGACAGGGTTGGTTTCTGTGAAGCCAAGGGTTTAATCTGTTAATCTGCACTGGTCTGGAAGATAACAATGAGCTTTGACCACGTACGTCGTCTTTTGTGTAGCCCCTTTGTTAAGCTCTCAGAAGAGGTGATCTGAGTGTCCTTTGCTGCAGAGAGATGTCTGAACTGCGTTTGAGAGATGAGAGGGAGCTTGCCCAGTGAAGGTGTGGGGCCGAGGGAACAGCCTGTGGCAGGCTGGGAGGTGGGCTGCACCTGGCTGTGCTGAAAGAACTGGAATGACGAACTTTCCCGGTCTGCTTCCTGACACGGCCCAGAGACCCTTGGGGGCATCGTCTGCATCGGGGTGCCCCAGCACTGTGTGTCATTCAAAGACAGAGTCAGGGGCATAGTCTGCGTCTGGTTCGCCATGGCACCGGTGTGTCATTCAAAGACAGAGTCAGAGGAGTGTGTGTGGTTAAGAGCAGGGGCTGCTCAGACCCAAGTTTGAACCTCAGCTCTGCCGTCTTTGTACTGTGTGACCTCGAGAGAGTCACTCAGCCTCTGTGATCTCAAATGTGCACTTGGGTGACATCGGGTCAATTGTACCTCTTCTACTGAGTTACTGTGAGGATTAAACGAGGTAATATGTTTCTGGGCAGAACACACACCTGCTATACAGGCTGGATCCTGGCCCCGCTCTCAGCTTTGGTTTCAGAGGTTCTGCTCTGTGAAAATGTTTGAAACTGCTGGCTTCAGAAAAATGAAACTTCAGACAGGAACTAGATATGACTAGATGTGAAAGTGCCCAGCCAAAATTTTGGTTCCTGTGCTGATCTCGGCTTTTGGGATTTGATTCTTTCGAAGGGAACAGAGCAGCGCGAAGGAAGAAGTGTGCCCATTGCCTTCTTTGTAGGCAGCTGAGTTCGCTTAACTGTAGGGTGATGCACTTTAGAGATAGGTTGCCGCTGGGGGCCTCAGAAGTGGGAAGAACAGGCAGCATTTCGTATGTGCCGGGGGCCAGATCTGTTCTTCTCTTTCGCATGGCTGCCTTATGTGATCCTCACCAACAGTTTGGGATCATGGAGTGTACGGCTGCCTTGGTGTCCTCCAGGTCACCTTTCTTCCAGTGTGCCTTCCTGCACTGTAGCTGCTGAAGAGTCAGAATGGGCGTTTCCCAGAGTCTCTTGCAGCTAGGGTTCTGGATGTGAATGAGATACTGTTAGGTTATCCCACTTGGGAGAGATTTGGGGCAGAAGCTGGGCGGACACCATTTTTCTTGTTCTTTTTGGCCGCAT